GTTGTTGCAGGGTTTGATTATACATGAACAGCTGTTTGTATTCATGTTTGTTGGTCCAACACCTGGGTCCAGAGTGAAATACCTCCATAGCTAATGGATGCGTTAGCGGGAAAGCTCATACAGACATTCATGGTCCCCAGGGAGTGAACCCTAATATTTGTTATCTCCTGGTATTTTAGGCTGAATATCAGACTCAGCTATCCAGTCACCACTCAGTCTGACATCATGTTCATGTTAGTCCACTTCTGTTTAGGCTGTGATTTTGCCTTAACCAGTCAATCGTGCAATATATCTAGCATCTTTCGCAGTAAACGCACAAACTGCTAGAAGAAGTTAGTGTAATATTTTTCATGACAGTTAAAGAAATATGTCAATTTAAAAGCTGTTTCTCTCAACAGACCTGTTTAGTTTTAGCTGTGTTTCATGGATGGGTCTATATTCTGGTTCTGGAAAACAGCATCATATTCTTAAAGTAGCAAACAACAATAGTACAAGTCATTTGTCCGTCATACAGTTTTGTTTTTCGGTGTGTAAACAAAAACTTTCTATAACCACCTCATGGGTTCACTAGCTACACAATGGATACTGATAAAAGACAAACTCTTTGTAATTTTTAGAAATGTTTTTGATGGAAAACATTTTTAAGTCAAAACTGCTTCTATATTTGATGTAAAAATATCGTTACACTCCCCAGACACTTCTCAGCTTGGCTCTATTTGACTCAACTTTTTGCACGTGAAGCCACTGACCAGTATTCAAGACTGTAGTTAGAACCTGTTAAGGAATTCATGCAGCACACATGCACTTCAGCTACAACCTCAAATCAAGAAAGTTGGGCCAGGATGTAAAATCAAAATTAAAACAGAAAATAGTGACTTGCAAATACTACAGCAGCTGATGTTCAAATATGAAAAGCGTTTTGGAGGAGTCGTGGGAATCGGCTCAGAGCTCAAAAAGAATTAACATTTTCCTCCGTTATTGTTTCTTCATAGAAAAACCCTGGAATTATACTTGATCACTCCTTTAATTTTGGCTTCGCATTCAAAGCTAAAAAAAGGCTTAATTCCCTGTTACTCGACTGTGGTGTGATGCTTTATCTATTACTTATTAACATAGAGATCTGCAAATATGGGGTTTATTTATCTTTGTTAATGATTTAATAACAGTTATAACTGCAGACTTTCCTATAATTCAGTAACCTAACTATTAATGTCTCAGCTGTCAGAGAATTGTTTCAACCCAAACATGACTTAAAGCTAATCTCTGCTTCTCAGATTTGACAGTTTGCTGCTTTTCCTTGTTGTGATATTATTCATTTGAATGTTTCTGGGGGCCTCTTGGAAATTGTGATGGGTCAGTTTTTTTTTTTTTTTATGTTTTCTGTTGTAAAGGCCAAACAATTAATCAACAGGTTAATCACTTATGAAAATAACCGACAGCTCCAGCCCTAAAGGCATTAGTTAAGGCATAAGCTAAGTTATTTATGAATACAAAAAATACTTGGTAAGCAGTGACAGTAACTGGCACATAAAGCTGAGGTGTCTCTTTAACCTTTCATACTGGTTATCTGGTTTTAATGGGACATGTGTTGGTAATTACAGTAGTGCCAGGTACAATCCCACAGCCTGGATCCAAACCAAACTAATGAGCCGTTCAGTTTATCTTGACTAAACTAGTGTGAGAGCTTGTGTATTTATTAGTGTGTTTGCAGACTGTGTGACGTGAAGCTGTAAAGTACACACATATGGGTCCAGGGCAAGGTACACACACGTTCATCCTGCACTCAGCTAGAAACACACACTGTGTGTATGGCTATCACACATTTTTTCCAGTGAGCTCTTTCGCATCTGTTTTTGCTTTTCAGGGAAGGAAGCTGTTACATCACAACCATTTCCTCTTCCTTCTTACGTCTTAAGCTTTAAGTGCAACTTGCAGGTTAACAACCCCAGTATGTAGCAATATGAATTTAAAAGCTACATCTATATGTGCACTACAGTAGCATGTGGAGTTGTGTGTGTGTATAAGAGTTATAGGCCCACCTCAAAAAAGACACATTGGACATGATGTCACAAAAGCGAGAACCAAAGTTTAACAACAGGAAATCTGTGAGCCCTGACAGCTGACTGACTGCTTGGTGTGTCTCTGCCCTAAGATTTGCCATCCAGCACTTTGTTTTTCAGCTCAATCTTAAGCTCTGCCTCTGTCTGTTCGATTCCTCCATTCATCAGTGTTTCTCAGATTTAATTAAGGTCAAACTAAAGTGTAGCTACTGAAAGTTCGGGCTCTTTGTGAATGATTTTCGTGCACAGTGCTGTTTCACCAGACCTCGGGAGCTAATCACTGCATTTTCTCCCAGTAACTTCAATTAAAAGATTACCATCTGCTCTTTCAGTGATGTCCTCTGCACGTTTCCAGGCAAAATTCACAAGAAATATGACGATAATCTCCATGTTATTGCTTCTGCTCCTTCAGAGTAGTTAGTAACGTACTGGTTTTTGCCCTAGTTCCAGTGTAGACTCCCAGTTTTTCCATTTAGGTTCTGATTCCCAGCTGGAGAGTGTCAAGTTACAGTCGCCCCTAAATAACACCTCTGTGTTGGGCCACAGAGACAAAGAGGTTTCTGTTGTGTGTGATAAGTTACACCCGCAGCCTGGACGACTGCCCTGCATCGCATTTTTGTCTTTCATACACAACCACACACAGAAGTGACGCGGAGCTCACGGTATAAAACCTCACTGTGTGTCTTTTGGTGTGGTTCTGTTTTCATGCATGCGGAGCTGGGCCTCTCCCGCTTCCTGTTCTTACACAAGGATTTATTCCTATCTGGATCCTCAAGTTTGTGACTCATTTATTTATTTTGCAGATGCATAAGATGATTTAGACAGCGATTGTAGAGTGTTTCTACTGTATTATAAAGCAACGAGTGACAGGACTCGACCACAGCGGTGTCAGAGGTTATTATATCACATTTTTGTATTTCTCAGCAGTAAAAACAGTCATCCCTAATGATAAAAATAACTGAATGAATGTGACCCAGATAATCAGCAGCCTGGATCGGAGCAGTGGGTTGGTTAGGCCATTGAAAGGAAATGGACATTTTGATGTTTGATTAGTTGGTTCACAAATTTTTCTAGCCAATGTGAAACATTTGCTGGTTTGATCTTTGCAAAGATTTGATCCTCTACAACAGTAAATGATATTCTAGTAACTAAACAAGTAAAAAATAGCAGTTAAAAGAAAATAATTAAGGTCTTTTCATATGAAATAGGTGTTTAATAACTTATAAGGCCTTTTCTGAGGAAACTGAATTCCATGGTTTTGTGTAACCACAAGTGTTTTTATTCATTTAGGCTGACATTATAACATATAACATTATTATAATCTCACAGTAAAACCCATAACTGTCAGTGAAGGGGTGTAATAATGTCAGCAACAACTCCACCCTCAAGCCTGAATTTCCATCATTCTCATCATAAATTTCCCATAGGAGGAAATTGTTTCACTGGAAACCATCCGCACCACCATCATCATAATCTCATGTCCTTTCTGAAGGTTTCACATTGCGAGGTCTTATAAACAACGGTGACCTTATTTAAAGACGAGCCGGGGCTGTAAAGGCCAAACATAGCTTCAGTGGAGCGGTCTGGAATCCCCCTCTCTCTTAGCCGGTCGCTTTATTCTGACTTACTAAGTTTGTACTATTGTCTTATCATCGCTGCCATTTGTATATTGCCCAGCTCTGACTTGCTGATACCCTTCCTGTGTCACATATTGTATTTCTTTGTGTCAGTCTGTGACTGTAAGAGACAGGAGTGGTGAGCTGGGACAATAGCTGAGGAACAGCTGAATGGGTAAGGGGGGCTGTGGGTTTGTTCAAAAAACAAAAGGAGAAATGACTTGCTGTAAAGATGCTGTTAGTGGAAAGTTGGTCATAAAATGGCTCTTGGTAACCGTGGAGATGCAGTTGCTGCCAGGAGATGTTGAGGGGAGGCAAAGCGTTGTAAGCTGCTGCAAATATTTGCCTGCAGCATGGAGGCTTTCATAAGTGCACATTCACTTGCTGTACACACCCACACAATTTAGTATACATTCATATCATAGTTTGCCTGCATGCGTTTGGTTCACATGCATGTTAGGAATGGACCTATTGGAGGACAAATGTGTAATTATTTTGTCTTCCCTCCCACTTTAGTAAGTGCAGTGTTGGCCTGAAGTTGGGCAGCAGGAGTGTGCTGTGTGTTTGTGGAGTGAAGAGGTCATTTCACTGTGTGTGTGTGTGTGTGTGTGTGAGTGACAGAGAGAACACTAGAAGTCCTTTCTCTCTGTCTGTAACTGAAACCACATGCTTCACATTCAGCTGTCCATCGTCCTCCTCCTTCATGTCTTCCTCCATCTCAATTTCACTCTCACTTTTCCTCCTAGCCATCCCTGCATGTTGTCATCTGTCTTTTCACTGATGTTACGTAACTAGACAAAATTAGCACACAAATCTAGATGTGCACCAGAACCTCCTTCTTTTGTCTTCACGTGTTTTATTTCATTTATTTCCAACTGGTTAAGTCATCTTAGTCAGGACAAGACTAGAAAAAGAAAAGTTTTTATTGTTTCGCTTTTATTTGAACGACACAGATTTGTAATACAGGATGAAACACATCACCTCCAAGATTGTGCTTGGGCTGCCTTTTGTCTATGTTAGTCATAAAAATGGACTCGCTCACCTTGTTGAGGAATGTGGTGAAGGAAGAGGAGAAGGAGGTGATGGGGGATGAAAGAGAAGATTAAAGATAGGAGGAGGAGTAGGACATTTACTGTATGCCCACTTCTACATGTGTTTTGTCAGTGTATCGCCACAATGAGAATCACACACATACTCAAAAGAGAAACAGTGAATGTTGAGGCATGGTTTCAGTCCAGGTTCACAAGGTTTATCAGACAATGTGGAAACTCTTAGTTAATGCACCTTTAAATGTACATATTTCTTTCCTTTCTCCTCTGTGCAGCACTTCTCTGAGCTCCTCGACGACCTCTCCCATGATGCTTTGCTGGGCCAGCTGCTCAGCGACCCCTTCCTCTCTGGGGTGAGAGGTGGGGTAGAGGTTATGGAGTGGGGGGACGGAGGAGACCTGTCCCCATCTTCCCCTCTCCCCCCTCACATCACAGCCGAGCACAGCTACTCGCTCTGCGGTGACAGCCGACCACAGTCGCCCCTGTCGCACCTGACCGGAGAGCAAGGCAGTGAAGCAGGCAAGACATACACACACCCGTTATCACTCCAAAGCAAGATTATTAATTGATTGAAAAAAGAAAAATACAATTCTTTTACTTGATAGGAAATAAAAGGCACCATTGCACAGTTTAAGACACTTTTCTAAATTTAAGACAGAATGGCTGGTAAATAAGAGCAGAAGCACAATAGACAGAAGGAGAATGAATCTTACCTAATGAAGTTCAACCAAGATGCATTTTCATATTTACCTGCAGTTGTTTGGATGTAGCCTGAAGTGTGTCATGTGCTTAAAGTAGTGCTTTTTGCATCATAAACACACTAACAGGCGTCCATGTTGCTCGTTCTGCAGCAGAGTCTGATGGCGAATCAGCCGAGTGGCCCATGGAGCAAGAGCAGACCATCAGCGGCCTGCTGTCTGAGACTCCTTCCCTCCTCCCCACCCTCTCCATGACTCTGGCCTCCTCTGAGGGGCCCCAAGCACCTGTAGCCTCTGCTGTAGCCCCCACCACTGCTGCCACCACCCCAGCTCAGACCACAGTCAAAGGCATCAAGGTGAGAGACTGAAGGTGAAAACGGAGCATTTTGGTCATCCCTCAGTCTGCAGCTCTTTTATCTTTTCCATCTTTTCTGCCGATGTTTGTATGTTTACAGATAAAGGAGGAGAATATCATCCCTCAGATTAAACTAGAGCCTCACGAAGTGGACCAGTTCCTCAATCTGTCACCCAAAGGTAAGAACTTAACTTGTTCTTCTCTGTTCCTTTCATTCTTGCTTTGGCATATTACAGGTAGTTATGTGAGGACCCCTGCTGGCCGTTTGCTCAAATATCTCATTTACCAGCCAAGATGAAGAATTCAAATCATTTACTTCACTAAGTGTAGCAGCACAACATTGTAAAAATACTCTGTTCTGCATTCTGAATCCAAAGTAAGTAAAAGTATAGAAGTATTAACTGCAAAAAATATATTAAAATAACAAAGTAGTAGAAATGCAGAATGGTTCCTTTCAAAGTGTCCTACTGTATACCATATTGGTATTATCACTGGTGCATCGACGTGAGCAGTATTTTCGCTGTAACTGGTTGAAGTGCAGTTGATTTGAACAACTTTTTAAAGTGCTTGAGCTTAAAAAGACTTCTGTCTATGACTGACTCTTAAAAACCTTCTACTGTAGTGCAGTGACAGTATTTCAACCTATTTTACATTTTAATAAACTTGTTCAGAATATATTTGAAAAAAGAGAATCATAATAAGGTGGACTACTCCAGCTGTACAGTATTTTACTAAATGTGCGAGCTGTATGAAGCATCTCACAGAATTTTTATATTCCCCTTAAAAATATGGTCACTTTTGCCTTAAAGAATTGTAGATAAGTTTTTCAGCAGAGTTCATCAGAACTAACGTTGTGTTCCAGGTCTGGATTCCCTGCAGATGCCTCCAACTCCTCCCAGCTCCCACAGCAGCGACTCAGAGGGCAGCCAGAGCCCCGTCCACGCCCCTCCCGGCCTCTCCTCCCCCATCAACCCCACTCCGTCCCAGGCGAGCCTCAAGGTGTCGCCTCGTGCTGCTTCGTCTCTGTCCAACTCCCCACTGCTCACCGCTCCTCATGTAAGTATCAACTTGATTTGAAGGTTAGTTTACTCTTTGTTCCACTCACAGTATCTCATATTATATCACTAACCAGCCCAAAAGAGTCAACAACAAGAGTCAGTGCAACAATGACCCTTATAATATCTTTGTTAGGACAGAAATGAAGAAATACCACATTTAGGAAATGTTATTTGTTAAGAAATATTAGTTGGTAATGATTTGCTAAGCACTTGAACACTAATTAAAAGTCTTATCACAGAAGTGCAGTGATACACCTGCATGTAACACACACACACAGATACTGCTTATATAGTGTAGTGTGCATCACCAGAAAGATGCTCCGACTGCACACGCTCCTCAGCTTTTTACGACTTTGCAATTATGGATCAAATCAAAAGTGATAATAACAAGTCTTATCTACATTGTCACAAGTTTATATGACATGAAACTTTAGTTTTAGAGGTTTG